ACTTGCTTTTTGATAATTTGAATACGGTCAGTAAAAGTTTTATCAATTTTGTTTAATGAATTAAAGTGATCTAGCCATATATCTGGGGATATTAAGTCAACAGGAACTTTAGTGTTTCTATCGTATCTTAGTTTTAATAGCATATCCCAATAAGCTTTTGGATTATTTTATTGAATTTTGGTTTTCTCAGAGTTTTAGATGCTGTATCTAGAAAATATTTATTTGAGTTATCAGCTGCTTTGTTAACATCCAAAATATTCAACGAAATGAAGTCTTTAATTTTGTTTTGGAACTCTAGATCACGACTGATGTAGTGTTGAAATCTACTTGCAGACTGTTCATTCCAAATTTGCAAGTTTGTTAAATTATGCAAGTAAACTCCATGTAATTTTACAGTGACAATCACTTAGAGTTGCTAAAATGGCGATACATGAAAATATAAAATTTTATCTATGATGGGTTCGGATACAAGGACATAATCAACTGTGCTACAACCATTGCTTGTAAAACAGGTAAAGTTACCTCAAATGTCTCCTAAAACTCTACCATTTAAAACCCGTAATTGATTACCAATACAAATTTCAATCAGCTCTTTGCCTCTATAATCTTTGATATTGTTTTTACTTTGTCTACAGTATGAATATAAATCTGACAAATAGTCATCACCAACTGGAAGATGATCTATGGTATCATATTGTATAAAATCTAGAAGGTTTCCAATTCTACTATTAAAGTCTCCACAAAGAGTTACACCCCCTTTCGTATTGAATTGTGTAATGTCACTTTCTAAGGACTGTAAAATATCTACTGATAAATTTCTAGTATAAGAAGACTGGGATGGTGGATAGTATACTAAACACATGTACAAATCTCTGTCTAAATGAAAAAAAAATATTTATCTAGTTTACCCACTGATAATCTTTGTTTGTGTTTGGTAATATAGAAACATATGGTTTAATGTTGTTTTAATAAATATACCTAAACCTCCAAAATGTCTTCCATTTTTTGACAGTGGTCTACATACTGAAAAATATTTATAACCATTTAGTACAGCTTTGAAATCGTTACCGACATGTGTCTCTGCAAGAAATATTATGTCATATTCAAACAATTCTGACAAAAAAAAATCATCTTCTAATTTGTTTTCCCCTCTGGTAATTAGACCCCTGATATTCCAGAAACAACATTTAACTTCACTAAAGAAATGCTTACCTAGCATGCATATACAAACTAATTCAAACTAAGTAAGAGAGTTCTACTTAACGAGGCTTGCTAAACAGTCAAATCTAGCTCGGTAGTAAGTTTTGTTTATATCTCAGTAAGACAGCTGATATACATGTATATAACTGCCCATGTTTGGGGGTAATTCTGTTCTTCCATCGGTTAGGCCCTTGTCTTCTGTAATGGTAAGTGTTCCAATCATTTCGATACCCATAGTCACGGTAGTTGCTGTATCCAGGGTTGTGGTTATTGGTGTTCCACTGGGTTGTGTTTCTATAATTTCTGTATTTGGTGTTCCATTTGCTGGACCTAGTGCTATTATTTCTCTGTAGGGATAATTGGTGAATTTCTAGCGCAGTAAATACTGTATTCTTTAGGTTTTCAGCCAGTCTTGTAGTGCCTTGATTTGACAGATGATATCCATCCTGTTCCAATAAATTTGTAAGTGGAATACATTGTTTGTTAAGTTTGTATTATGTGATAAAGTGACCTGAGGGTCTTCCATGAACTTCATCACCACTGCTGCATTGATAGTCTGCATCTTAGCATCTGAATGTTTATCATCAAGCCTGGGAGTTCCCAATGAAAGCACAACCTTAATGTTTGTCCATTTTGATTTGCTGGTGTTGATGATTTTCTCCGGCTGTTGTGTGCATTGTACTGCATGTTTGGTTTTTCCATCATTTGTTAATGAGTGTAGGACAATGCAGTCTGGAGTTTCTTTGAACTTCTTTATTTCATCATGTGTATCTTCCAGAGTTTGCGCTTTTTTTTAAATAGTGTTAGAGTGTGTTGACAGGTTGTCTTCTTTTATTTTGTGAACATTAGAAGTACTTTAAGCTTTCCACTGTTTTCGTCAGTGCTGGGTTTCTTTGCTGCAACTTGAACCATTTCCGTGGTGTGATTTTGTAATTGATTTTGCATATGTACATGTAACATGACAGACAATTTTCCTTCTTCCAAATTCTGTAGCTTTTATTTCAGCTCACTGATCTTTTCTTCCAAGTTTTCTTTAATATTGTTTCTTTCAGTTAGACCTCTTTGAAACCCTTCTCTCTCTTTGTCACATGAGTCGATCATTTCTGCATATTTGGCCTCAATTTTTCTCAGCTCTCTGGTATATCTCTTTATTCCATAAATTTCTTCCTTGTAAACAAGATTTCTGTCTTTACTTGTGAAAGTTCCGTCTCCAGGGCTAAAAATTGGTCAGGTATTTGTTTTGGTTGGTTGTTGTTTGAATTTTCATCTAATACCTTTAATGTTTTTGCAATCTGACCTTCTGTTTGCTTGATCAGGCAATCAATGCCATTCTGACTGTTCTTTATGGGGTCACTGATAGTCTTCACTATAACGTTAACATCTCTATACGGTTTGCACTAAGTTCAAATTTGTTCACAGACTCTTTTACAGAATCTATTACATGACTTATGTTTTTGTTGTTGTTAGCATCACAAGAAGTATCTGTGTCACTGGGATCACAAGTTCATATCATATAGAGGCTGATCTGTATTTGAGAATCTTCTGATTGAAGCTCTTGTGTATTTCCTGTAAATCTTTCACAATATTGTGTCTTGGATTCCGTAGAATCATATACAGTTTTAGGGTGAGTATCGCCCAATTGATCGGCTTCAGAGTTTACGAGTTCAAGTTGTTTAAAGTACAGATCGTAAAATGTTGAACAAGTACCCCCTTGGATATTAACCTTGCCTGTCGTAAAAAAGTTAAACTTCACACAAGCATCTTTTCCGCATGTGACTTTAAGTACACTGTTATTTTGTTTTGGTTGGGCAAAAATTCAGTATGTTCACTTCCGAAAAGTCCATTATTACCTTTTTCCACATGCTTGTCGAATCTGTTTTGAAGGTAATGTTACTGATTCTTCCATCGCACTACTGGTGCAATTTTGGATCGTGCTTTAGAGCCTCTTCAAGTTCCTCGCCAGTAACACACTCTTCAAATAACTTGGTCGGGTGTTTAGTGCCTGCCACACCACATGTATTGTACGGAGATGACATATTTTGACTTAATCGTGTAGTTGTAAAAATAGTGATCGTGTCTTTCTTATATTACAGTGAAGTACTTAGCTGAGAGTGAAATGATATCTATAAAATTCAAACATGAGCAAATATCTGCTACTACGTTCTCAATGCGCCCTTCGCAATCTTACCGGAAGTACAAGTTAAACCAAGTGTATCAGTACATGTAGATTAAAATCTAAATTACACCTATTACTCTGTTTATTAAGGCATATGTTATATCATGTTAAATAACAAAATAATAAATTCGGTGAGGAAAACCGTTCCTGACCAAAAGTGGCAGTGAAGTGAATTTAGGAATAACTAGATAGCAAACATTCGAGATTTTTATTAACGTTCGCAGAATGATGATAAAATAACCTGTCTTGTAAAGTAGGAATTCCTCATTAAAATCTTTCCCCCGGAAAACTGGCTCTAGAGTAGGATTTCTCCACGAGAAATAAGCTCTGAGTAGGATTTTCCCCACAAAAAAGTGACCCTAGAGTAAGATTTTCTCCACGGAAATCCCACACCAGATTCAATTTTTCGGGAAGGGGATCCTACTCTGAGTAAAAGTTATAGAGTGCGATTTCTCCAAGAGTCATGGCTGTACTTATGTATGAGGGGGAAGGGTATGACATATTGTCCCGTAGTGACCAATTCATTGAAATATACGAAGTATGCAGATGAAAATTTAAATGTCATTTTTCTCAGTAACCGTCCAAAAAAATTTTTTTTAAGAATTAAAATTTTATTCTTTTCAACTGGTCAAACTGGTTTTTGAAAAAAAGTTAGTACAATGTAATCGGTGGTCAAATTTTAATTTTTCCATAGAAACAAAAAGGAAGTTTATTTTTTTTAATGGAATTTTTTTTCAATCCTATTTTACACTACATGTACATAAGTGTCTACCCAAAATTCCGGTGTTTAAATATTGCCATGGAACTAAAAATGGCTAATTTATTTCTAAAAATTTAAAGTATATTTTGCAAAAACTTTTAGAGAGTACAGTGTATTTGCTCTCTGCTTTCAAATCCAATATCACAACACTAGGGTCGAGGTGACATACTTCTGCTTCCGCTGGCAAAAGCAGTGTTTCTTATATTGTTGTGTTTATGAATTTGGCTTTTTTTTTCCTTTGAAGAACAACAAGATGTTAATACTCACAAAATGGCATGTGCATAAAACCCATCAATAACAAATTTTAGAAATTTCTCGCACACTCTTTGTAAAAAGGATGTATCCATAGATGAAATACTGGGCCTATAGAGGGCAAACAAATGGGCAAATCACTAAAAGTGCCCCGATATAATTTTAAATTTGTGAGCAAATACGTACCGCTATGCACCGAGAGAGGGTATTGAAACATCGAGTTTTATAATTTTAAGTGACTTATTTACAATATCCTATGAGTTAAAATTTTTGGTTAAGACCCAGTGATTTGAACTCTCTATTTTGATATTTCATACTAAATTCAAAAAATCTTGAGTCGAAAACATTTATATTTTCATTAAAAAAGCAGTTGACTTTCATAAACATTTGTTGCCATATTAATTGTTAATGATTTAAGCATTGATTAAAGAGGGGAAATCCTACTCTGTGAAAGAAACGGGGGGAAATTTGGGTCTAGTGTGATATATTACCCCTTGGGGGGAAATTCTACTCTTACAGATTCGCTGGCTGGCAGGAAAGCTGGCTATGGGAGATATTTTACTCTACAACACTGGTATCGCTTTTTCTGCATGCACTTAAATATGACAACAGTTACATGGTCATGTTCATCTGCAAATTGATAATAACCGGTTGCACATTTGGTATCTCTTCGCTGCTCTGTCCAACATCGTCTATATTTTCCCCTGTGTCTGCTGATGGAGTTACCAAAGGATGATCTTTATAAACATCTTGTAGACCTTCTAACCGAATTCTCTGATTAAACAAGTCAATCATATCGTTTTCAGCACGAACCTCCAAATACGTGTCAACATTTCTTTCTGGACGAACGAGTTGCAGAATGGCGTCGATATTGCAATGGCTCATGACAATATCTGGATTTTTCATAAACAGCGAGTGGAAAGCGCATATGTATATAAATGGATGCCAGAAAACATACTGTGCAGACTCCGGTGGTATGTTTTTCTGCTTATCTGAATTCCTTATTCTTATGTATTTACTCAAGCTTTCTTTAAATTCGTCAAAGGATGATTTATTAATTGCAAATGCCATGGTGTTAATCAGTTCTGTATCAAATTCTTCTGATCTATTATATTGACCTTTTAAACATATGTACATAAGCCATTCATATGTACTCTTCGTTTCTTTATCTCCTTCAAGACCAGTAATGTGATCAGTCATCGCTTGTAAAAGACTACCTTTGATCACATAATCATCGATTACATCATGGTATCTCTCAAGTACATTCATTTTTAAAGGAATGCCTATTTCTGAATCACGATCGTCCTTGAAAGTTTCGAACCTCAAATCATGACAATGGCATTCTTCTTTCTGACAAGGTTCTTTGATTCTTTCTTTGAAATATTGAAAATGCTCTTCATGTTTTTCAAAATTTTCTGAATCCAGGCTCAGTTCATTACGAAATAAAGGTGACCGTGTAAAACATCCAAGCGTGTGATATTTTCTATGATGCTCGGATCTCATTCCGATGATGATTTTAACATTTGTGTATTTGTATAATATGTTATTTAAGTCTTGGCATGCTTTTTTGACTTTGTCGACTGAGCATGGATCATCATTCCAAAGTCCGAACCAGCCATACACAAACATAATGGTGTTCTCCTCCACATTGTCTGGTATGTCTGTATAACGAAATTCCACAGATTTCCATTCCTCATTTTCCTCAACAAATTTATCCAAAATAAGACGAGAAGTACTGGAAACAGAATTTCCAAATTTACCATGCACAAACAGCGATTTTCCATCTTTTCTTGAAAGCGCCTTCAGACCATTGTCAACAATGGGATCTACTTGTAAAAAGGTAGTAAAGTTAAATACAATTATAGCTAAGTGCCAGAGACAAACAATTTTGTTTCATGACGATCCTGATTTCTTATTTCCAACAAGTTTATTATGCATTTAAATACAGGGAAGTGAAAATCATTTCGCTGCAAGTGTAATTTCATCATAAGCGTGTTCGCTGTAACCGTGTTTTACGTTATGTATGTACTAATAAGATATAATGGTTATCTTCCATAACGAGAATACGAAATCAATAGCAAAACATATTCATGTAACGATCAAGTATCACTTGACACTTCAAAAACTAAAGGCTTCTATCAAGCATATTTATAACATAGCTGCAGATCTGTTGCTCGCTGGTCTGAAAAAAAAAATGGGATGTTCGTCCATTCCAATTTGTTTAGACGAGCGAGCTACAAATCTGCAGCTAATTCTTATCAGAGCTCACATATATATATCTATATCTATATCTATATCTATATATATATATATATATATGCATATTAATAAATATACTTGGGGTTTTTAGTGTTTTCCTTTTTTAATTTTCCTTATTTTTATTTTTAACAATGATTTGAATTCGCAAAATTTAGAAACGTAAAAACTAATTTATATCATTTTGACCCAAATTTGAAAAAAAAAAAATAAATTGGAGTAAAGCATTTCCAGGTTTACGGTAGAATTCAAGGTGGTGGAGGAATTCAAAGTAAGACTATCCCAACCTTCAATTTTATTTTTCTCAAAGTCTAAACGTGTTGTGCAAGTCTCAAGGTATACATACATGTATCTTTTTTCTAACAAAAATCTACGTATTATAAATGTTATAAGCAAGGAAATCTAGTCTTTCGAAACTGTAATAAATAAAAAATCAAAACATCACCTCTCGATGGTTGTAATTTTTCTGTTTCGTCCGACTTCTTCTCATCTACCAATGAATCAATAAGAACAAGATATAAATATCCCTAATAAAATATATAATACAAAAATAATTACATGAAATAAAAAAAAAAATAAATAAATAAATAATAAACTAGGAATTATATCCAAAAAATAGAAAGACTAACCTTTTTGACGTCTGTTACGACGAAAAATGAAAATGAAGAGAATCACGGCTACAACAATAGCTATGATTCCAATTACTACAACAATGGCAGCGATTTCTCCTGCAGACAGATCGCCGGCGCCCTCATCATTTGGATCTTCAGCTCTGAGAAAAACAAATAGATAAAAGGTCCGTACGTTTTGGAAGTTAGGAATGTGACATGAGTTTCTTCTGAATTTGTGATCAGCCCTTGGCCAAGTTTGGCGTTTACTAGTGATCCTTGGGGCAAGAATGTTATCCATTTTGCTATTGCATTAAAATGTAATTCATGTAATTTACAGGGCGGAAAAGTGTCTACAACATATTAAAGCATAAGAAGATAATCTGAAAGATGTCTTTTTCATTGACCATAATAAACTAATTTTGGGTACAAACCCTATATTAGGGGAGAGAATGGAAGAAGATTAAAAGATATATCATGTATGTAATTTTTATCTAGGGCAAGAAGTAGGAATATTGTACATGTAGCTCATTTTCAGATGTCCAGGAAACAACGATTATGGAATGTAAACGTATAATCTTTTTAGAATTTCTCATTCTTTTTTTTTCTCTTGAGAGTCGCCCGCGTGGCGCAGTGGTTAGAGCGTTTTGCTCGAGAGTAGCGGAGTAAGGAGTTGTTCCTTACGTTGCAGGTTCGAATACTAATGCGGGACGTGGAGACCGGTCCTTCGGATGAGACCGTAGAAATCGAGTTTCCGTGTCACAGTAGGTGCTGGCATGAAAAAGATCCCTCACAGCTCAATGGCCCTGAGTGCCGAATATAGGTCTAAAATTTGCAGCCCTCCACCGGCAAGTGGAAAAAAAAAATCTTTTTTCTCTTGAATAGTAAATTGATTTTAAAGTCATGGGCAAAATCTACCAATGAAATTTAAATCGAATTATAGACATTTATCCGTTTGTTGCCTAAATTTTTATCACATTGTATTGGAATCATTCTAAAACTGTACTCGGAGCAGAATTTTCATATTCCACTTCCATGTTTTGCAAAATTGATTTTTGAAATAAAAATCAACTAGCAAAGCTTTATTACTCTATTTGTACATAATGTTCTATTTCACATGAGACAAAAGCCACACGTAAAGACGTAGTGTAGAAATTTTTTCACGGTTTTCTTCTCAAACATTGTTACTCGACACTTATTTTTTCTTTTCAGCAACATCTCTTGTACGAGTACTTATTATTAGAATATTGAAGATGTTTTTTTTTTTTTTAAATTATTGACTCATTGGAAAAGAACATGAATTTTGGCGCCTCGGTAAACGCAAAGGACTTAATTTTTCCTTAAAACTGATATCAATTTTCTGTGTTAAACTCAAATTATTTAAAAGTATTCTTTATTTATTTACTCAGATTGTTTACGAAAATAGAATAATTATGAATATGTCTGATAAGACTGTTTCGACAAATTAGTTTTCTTTTCAGTTATATCTACATGTACTTATTATTAGAATTTTTTTTCCTCTGTGGAAGACGTTAATAAACCTTATTAGATACCCCTGAAGAGTAAAAGGAATATCTATAAACGTCGTACCTGGCTATTCTTGGGTGGCGCAGAAAGTCACATACTGAAGGCAGCATGTTTCCTTTCTTTATGGCTTTTTTGTGCACCACCTTTTTGCTTCTTAAGTGTTTTTTACCATTTATACTATTGGCTGGGCTATTTTTGTCATGTGATTAGCAAGAATTATGTCATGTGACTAGTCAGCATGTTTAACTAGTCAATTTGTCATGTGACTAGTCAGCATGTTTATCTAGTCAATTTGTATGTACTATATATTTTGTTTTAAGCCCAGCCAATTAATTGTGATATGAGTCTATGTAATAGTTAAATGTAGTTTTTAGTCATTTGCTAGTTTCAATAAATGACATTTTAACTCAATGTTTCTTTCTTAATACTATATATAAGAGGTTAAGCAAAAACAAGCTGCGAATAGCCAGAATTGTCTCCTCTCACTACAGGGAAAATTTGTGTATATAAATATCTATAAACGTCGCAAAACAGTATTTTCCTAGAAGATTGACGTTAAAATATGGCTGTTGCAAAAGAATTAATGAATGCATCTCAAGATTCGGGCATTAAATTTTTTTCATGACATGAAAATGTACATGTAAGCATAATGTTTTTTACAAGATTTATGCAGAAACGGGAAATATTAAGCCTTAATTAGTTCAAAAAACTGAAGAAAAATGCTGGTGTAAGAAGATTTTGCAATACTCACATTTTTTCTTTTGGAATATTCTTGCCAAAACATATTGGAACTGAAATATAATTTATATTTAAAAAGGAAAAATTGATTTGCTTATATATTCTGGCAGGAAAGTTGAGTTTGTCGAACTAAAATGGTGGCGTGTTACATTTTAAACTAGTGCTAATTGTAACAGAAACCGTTACAGATGATCCTTAACCCTCTGGCTGCGGGAAGGACATATATGTCCTTTTACCGTTCACTGCGGGAAGGACATATATGTCCCTCGCAACGTCATTGTTTTATTTCCGTGATATGTAAAGTAATTTTGGTAAATTTTGTTTGTCTGGCACTGAAAAATAAATAAATAATTAAAAGCTAAAATAAAATAAAAATTAAATGTTAGTTCTTTAATTTATTTTATTTTTTTTATTATAAATTACAATACGTTTAAATGTAAATTCATTTTTAAAGGTTAAAGAGAAATATTATTCATGTATGTTTTTGACATTTTCGTCCGAAACAAAAATTAAGTTTTACTATCGGTAACAACCCCTTTTTTTAAATTTTGAATTATTCCACCCGTCCATAGAGAGAAAGTGGTCGATTTTGAAATTATTACATATGAGGTGGCATTTTAAATTTAATGACAAGATTAGTTGATATAAACTATAATTAAGAGAAAAGTAATGTCGTTGTTTTCCTATGCGCCTTATGTCTTGTGCGTTTTGTTAATGCATGTGATAAAAAAAATATAAACATTACTATAATTATGATTTATTAATTCTTTAATTAAATAAACATATTATAAACATTACGATACTATAGATAAATTGCTTTGCTGTTAAATAAAAGCTGATTAAATTGATAACTACCTGTACACTTTTTTTTATAGTAAAACAACGTTTACAAGAATGATACAGGCTTCAAATTTTATGCGAAATTTCCCGTAAAATCTCAAAAATTACGTCATTTTATTAATTAATTACGTCATTTTTACGGTGCTCTTTGATATCATGGATTCTGCATCGGAAAGTGAATCTGATTATGAGTTCCAAACAGATGATGAGTCTGAAACTGACGACGGAGAAATTCCATTCATTGAGAGATTATGGACAAATGTACGGTATGTCGAAAACTTTGAGTACCCACATGAAATTAATTCTTTCTGTCGCCATATGGGTCCAGTAAGCCCCCCGAGGGTTGATGCCTCACCTCTTGAGTATTTTCACAAGTTAACCTTTCCAGAAGAAGGGAGAAGTTTAATTGAAATTTTGGTGGAAGAAACAAATAGATATGCAGATCAGTTTTTATCTAATCCTCAATATAGTCCTATGCCATACTCAAGATGTCTACAGTGGTCGGAAACAAATGTTGATGAAATGTCTGCCTACTTAGGTTTATACCTGTCTATGGGTATTTTGCGGAAACCCAGTATAGAGGCATACTGGCAGGATTCAGAACAATCCTTTCTTTTCCGTACACCTGGATTTCCTGAAATCATGACGCGAGACAGGTTTCAAATATTGTCAAAGTTTCTTCACTGCAATGATAATTCAACGCAAGTACCACGTGGAAATGACAATTATGATCCATCACACAAATTTAGACCTATTTTGGATCTTCTCAACGAAACTTTTCCAAACGCATATGACTTAGCCCGAGATCTAACCATTGATGAGAGCATGGTTGGATTTAAGGTATAAAAAAATATTAAAAGTTTTAAAACATTGAAAAAAATATTCATCTCAACAATCTCTTATATCATTCATTAATACTGAAATATTTATCATTAATCATATACATGCACGGCATTTCATATATTTTTTAATCCAAATAACGATATATACACAATAACTGTCTTTTAACATTACAAAGGGTAGAAACGACATTGTACAGTATGTACCGGCTAAAAAGTCTCATCAGTGGGGAGCAAAGTTGTTCGTGCTGGCAGAATCGGACACAGGCTACAATGCCGCAATTCAATTATATGCAGGTTAATATTACTGATACCGCAAATACATGGATTTAATTTATTCTATCGTTTGCTTAACAGGGGCGTCCAAGGCCTATCGAATCCCAGCATTTACAATGTACAGTAAGGACAACTGGCTTTAAGGGGAAAATAATGAAAAGACAATAATCAGATTCAAACATGTACACTCTTGTAGTCCAAAAATACATTCATCGCCAAAAATGCGGGACCACATAAACAACTCTTATTTGCACTCTGATTGCTAATTTTATTTTCTTGAAAAATGTCTAGGAATCTGCTTTGATCACTATGTATTTTTAAATCAGATATTAAATACATTCACTCAAAGCAATTCGAGTTAATTGCATAATATAAAAATATATAATTATAAAATCCTGATAAATAATATTTCTTTAAAATCTGTGAAACAAAAGTTTACAAAATATACCATAAAGTTTTTAGATTATTAATAGTCCGGTGTTGTAGTGGCTCATTAAATCGCGAATGAAGTAATTATTACAGATTTGGCATTCTTTAATGGTTTAGACTATCATATTTGTTGATAAATGTGCATATATTTTCACAAGATCATAAAAAAGCATACGTATTGGAATATTGAGACTATGCCATTGAACCTATTCTATATACATGTCCCTAATTCTTCATTGTTAAAAATGGGATTGCGAACGCCTTATACGACCCTGTTCATTTAAGATTACTTATCAAATTGAAACAAGAAAAGGAATGTTTCACTGAAAATAATTTATTCGTATACAGGTAGACAAGAGGGTGTCGCTCGCAGTCCCCACGGTGTTGGGTACGATGTGGTGATGCAGTTGATCCATCCCTATCTGTACAGATATCACCATCTAGTCTGTGACAACTACTTCTCCAGCCCAGCTCTTTGTTCTGCTCTCTTTGAGGCAAACACTTACATGACGGGCACTGTAAGGGTGTGCAGGAAGGGAATGCCAAGGTCGTTAAAGGGCTTAAAACTACAGCGAGGAGAGATTGTTGTAAAGCAAACTGGGTCTATTATGGCACTTTGTTACGGAGACAGAAAAACCGTAACATTTATGTCTACGCTATCTAAGCTCAAGTAATTTTACTATTTCACTATATATGATTAAGATGATAAAATTTCAAGAAAGAAAAAGAAAATTCAAAGTCATTCCAGTTGTCCTGAAAATTCTCTATGCCATCACCATCATTATCAAGTAACATCATCATCATCATTATTATTGTTTAAACAAAATCAAAATTGAATGATATAACAGGCATGTAGAATCGGGGGGGGGGGGGTTCCCCCAACTTTTTTTCCCAAAACATAACCTTTTTCTATAAAAAAAAAAAAAGATCATTGAAAGGGTGGTTGCCCCCCCCCCTTCCCCACTTCCTTGTTGCTGCATATAAAGAAAATTTGGTTGTGAAAAAGTTGGATGAACCCCCTTTTTTCCCGATTGCTCCCTTTTAAAATCGATACTACGTGCCTGTATAAGGGGGAAACATTGGCATTTGTGTTACAGCGTTATCCCAACACAGAACGCCCGAGGAGTTGAAGTTCTCATACCAGCTGTCAACAATGTGTACAACAAAAAGATGGGTGGTGTTGACCTGTCCGACAAAAGTTTGGAACTTTACGACCCAGATATAAGGTCAAACAAAATGTGGAAACGAATACTCTTTAACCTTCTTCTGAGAGTTATCTGTAGGTTTCCTACTTGAATAGAATTTTTACCCCCCCCCCCCTTTAGCTTAATGTAAACGAGAGAGAGAGTAGTTGTTAAATATATCTATTGAACTAAAAAGATTATCATTTTTTATCTATGGGTAGAAAACGATATTGTCAATTTTTTGCGCTTGCGGGATCAGCGCAAAAATAAATAAATAAATAAGTAAATGAATCTCGCCAAGTTCAATCATTTTTCATTTTCTATAAAACACTTTAAATAACCAAAGCAAACTTTTTTAAGCCAACGCCTACATCATATACAGACAAAATAGAGGTTTGCGCACTAAAATGGACAGGATGGACTTTCATATGGGCGTCTGCTTGGGTCTGATAGGAAATTTTCGGCAACCTAGGCGCTTTGCAGGAAGGCCCAGCCTGTCCACTCAAACAAGACTGACAGAGAGGCACTTCATAGAACAGCTTGATGGTAAATTACATGCATCAATATAATTTGTTTATCTAATTGGTTTTAATAATATGATGTTCAGGAAACACTTGTAAACATCGTCACAAGCCACGAGTTGTTTTGTTTTGTTTTGTTTTTTTTGTTTTTTTATTTCCCATTCTGTAGCTTGCGACTCTGTATTCCCCAGTTGTACTTTTTTCATCTGATTTTCAGGCAGAAAGAGAAAAATCTGTGTGATCTGCAAGAGTAAAGTGAGAACGTGGTGCGCCCCCTGCAGTGTTGGGCTTTGCATTAAATGTTTTAAAACTTTCCACACCACTAGACATTATGAAGAATAAAATGTACAGCAAAATTGTCTTGCATCTTTGTTGTTATATATTGCAAAACAAAATACGCTGATAGATTTTCCTTGTCGATTTTGTCAGTTTGTCTTCGGGTTAACAGAAGACTACGGTTTTTACAATAATTGATAATTAATAACCTTAAAACAGCGAAAAACCAATAAGCAAGAATAATTGCATGATTTATCTACTAAACCACTTACATCAAAAACTTTTTTTAAAACAGAAATTGAAAAGCAAAAACATTCTTAATTCAAGTTTAGTCAACCGTTTCAATATACATACGATTACATTTACAGGAAATACTGGTTATGGTTCCCTGTGCCGAAATAAGGCCAGTTTTGTTCTTCTATCACACTTATGACTAATTCTAAACAGTGTGTTAATACAAGAGATATATTCTAGAAAAAATATAATATGAAAAAAAGAACGTACCGAGCTGTTTTAGTTGCATGTACGCAGAGAAACGTAATTTTCATTCCGCCGAAACATTTTATAATATACTGTATTTCCTTTATATGCTTCTATTATTGAAGATTATTGGTCAGGTCTTTACTGTATTTCCTTTATTTGGTTCAAAAATTTTACAAACGCTTAACAAATTATCGATAATGATTAAGATCATTAAGTTGGTGTCCGATTTTGATGAAGAATTAAAACTTTCTTCTTATTCAATTACGAGTACTTATCGGGGAAAAAAATAATACTGTGATTAAAACTGAGTCAATAGTATTTATAAAGAATCTATAAATAATTTGTTTATGTGACAAATGAATAACTTTTTATATAAGCTTGCCTGTGCAAGACGGGCACTTAGCGTTAAATCAGAAATATTTTAAAATTCCGCTAAAAATTGTAAAAGAAATTGTGACGTCGATGTAATCTCGCAGTGACGTTATATTTTCTGTTCACTGACGTCGCAGCCAGAGGGTTAAACGGCTCCCCCACTTCCTTATGGTGTCCAATTCCCTACAAGCTTATTTAATTAAATTAAGCAATACTTTAGCATTATAGATCTACACTTTATTTTCTAAAGTATTTTCAAAACAAGGAAGTTAATGAGATTTTTGCTTCAGCCAATCGGAACATCTTTAGGTAAATATTGTTTATCAAAATATTTCCTAATTTCGAGATAAAAAGCGTCTAAGATTTTCCCTAATAACGTAACTTATGATCAAAGTTTTATAATATATCGCTGCAGATTGTTAAGATAAACATTTTTGCTTGTCTAATTTTAAACAAAATATTGATCTTTTAAGTGTTATAAATTAAAGTCTTTTGACGCCTCTGAGTCCCTAATTTGAGGGATCAGCTCCTTTTTTCATGATGACACATGAAACGTCTTGTCATTCTGCACAACTTTTGTTCTATATCTTTTAACAAAATGTTCGCAGATAATAAGATTTGAGAGAAAACATGTCGAAATTTGCGAGATATTTGTGAGCCTGTTTTTCGAGCCCCAATGAGCTTCTGTGCCTTTTGCGCTGAAAAGACATAGACACCAAATGGCATGTATACAATCTTTCTTCAATTTCAGTCGTTTAGAAGGAATTTTCAGGACAATCCTACAATCTGAAAATCAGAAAATTGTCCATATCTCGCATATCAACAATCAAGCTTTCCTATCAAGATCAACGATAAATATATATCAGATCTGAAAATTTTGTGAAAATCGATCCAATCGTTTTCGAGAATCGCGTGCACAAAATCGGTTGGAAGAATAATAATAAAGGGGAAAAAAGAAAAGAAAAACCTTAATTATTAAGAGGCAGTCCACCAGAAAACCAGGCAGTATTGTATTAAGAGGCGGCACATCGAATGTGACGAATATTTGATATTTTATTGAAAATGATATTAATGTAGTCCATATGGAATAATGAAAGTAAGGATTTGTTTGAAAATAGCTTATTTACTAAAATATCGTTTTGTTTTGTGTTCTTGAATTCCCCTATATAAACCATTGAATGTAGGTCGGAAACAAAGAACTGTAAATTCTAATACATTTTCAACAGATCTATAATTCACTCCAAACTAAATCAAGAAATATTTCATCTTTCAATTTAAAAAATAAAATCAGTGGGAAAAATATTTTCAATAGTAGTTTTCTTGCAAAATAGAAGTCATTTTTTATGAAATTCTGTGATGCAAGAGTTATCTCCCGTAGCATCAGGAAATCGGCTAAACATCTTACTATCAGAACCCCTGTGAGAAATTTAGAACTGATACGCTAAAGAATATCATTCAACCAAAAATAATTGGTTTATTTTCAAAAACGGAATTAATTTTCACCTCCAAACATAATACATGTATTTAGTTTAAAATTTGCTTTATTATTCAGGTTGAATCCACGTTTCCATTGATGTATCAGTGACGTCAAATACCTATCTAATATTGCGTCACAATAGTTGCAAATATTCCGCGGAAGTTGGTAAATTTATGTAAACGTGCAAAGAAAAAGATTTTTAAAAAGTTAAGTTAAATAATTTCTCTTTTCTGACCAATTACTTTTCCGAGTGCATTAAATAATATTGTGATCCAGAATGTATTTTATTCACGGGCGGTGCCTCAGCTATAGATGTTTTAAAACAAGTCAGTATTGATAAGTAATTTCATAAATGTACAAAACGTCTTTACAGTAATCATAATACAATGTAGGATTAAATTGATAAAATTTGGATGTGAAAAGATTAAGGATTATTTCTTATTATTCAGTAATAATGAATATTCCAAATTTACGCCACATTAAATTCAGCAAAGTCGAGATGTGCACTTCTTGAAGTGTTGTTAATACTTGAATATGTTAACTTATATGCAGTAATATCGTAATATCAAATATCAGCATTATACGACTGTCGGACCGTATAAGTTTTAACAGTTGTAAGAACGGAAGTACTCGTCACATCCCACTTCACTAATATTAGCAATGGTTGTTTACTATTAGTGCCGGTGGTTCAGATTCTGTTTAGACTTTAATTTTTCAAAAATGTAAAATCTGAAATAGAAAAAAAAAGTTATAGAAATCTATAAATTTACTAATTAATGAGGAAAATGTTGCCAATACCACTTCAAGCTGACACTAAAACGGCAGATGATTGAATGGAACATTTTTTTTTTATTTTCGTTTTTAAATGTTGACAATTCTTCCACATATCCTAATACTTTATACTGAGTTAAAATAAGTCAGTAGGTTGGTAAATTTCCAAAATATCTCATTATCATCAAACCAGTTACAAAACGGATGCCGCCCAGATGAAACCCCCCTCCCCCCGCTTTTTTTTTCGTGCGATCATTTGTGGGCTCTATTATCATGATTATATGTATGTAAGTGTACAGGTTTTTTTCTTATTTATTTCAAATTAAATTTCTTAGAGCAGGAAAATATTCCTTAATATGAAGAATTGATGAAAAAAAATAAATGGATTAAAGCCGAGGCTGTACACATAAAAAATACTTGCTGGGTTAAAGTACGTGCATGTATAATTTCGCCACTGCAGGACTATTTTTTTTTTTTGTTAGATTTTCTTTTTAGTCCAGATAATTTAGAAAAATATTTTGCTTGGAAATGAAATATTTTATTAAGCTTAAAATTTGCTATTAATTGTTACATGAAATATATATCTTTTTGAATAGGTGTGTATCAAGAAATCAAACAGATGTTTTACAAGTAATTAAAAAGATCTTCATGGACCTGAAAAAACATTTAGTAATTAAGATATATGTAATCTATGGATAAAATTATCTAAAAACATGTAACTCACAGAAAAGAAATAAAATACAGACATATTCTTATGATAAAATACAACGAAGAGCCGATTTTAGAAAATATTTCTAATTTTTAATATAGAACCAATCCCGATTGAAATAAAACCGATCCCGATCGAAATTAATGCAAAATTATTAAGTAATCAAATTAATGGTAATTGCCACCTAGAAAACATGTTTAAAATTAAATCAAGTAATTTGTAAACCATATTAAAACAAAACAACCAATTTTCATGATGAAATCATAGTAGCTTTCTTCTTAATATAATTCCGGTCGGGATCGGTTTAATTTGGATAAATTTATAAAAAGTAGATAATTTGACGCCTCTTATTTCTCTCAATATACCTGTTCCCACCAATTTTTTAAATTGGTTCAACAATTTTTTTTTGTATTCATAATAACATGAGGAGAAAGTTTTGACATTTAAATGTATTGGAGTTTAGAACGTAATGAAAATTGGATAGTGAATTTATTAAGTCACTTGCTTAACTCAAGTTTAGACCACATAATTTTTTCTAAAGATACATAAATTGGTGTCTTTTTCATTGATATTATAAAAGATAAAGGTTTATACTATAAATAATATTTATTGACATATCCAGTTTTTGAGTATCTGTTTCAAATAAAACAAAACAAAAACGTAGTAAATTTTTAACCAACTTGTTGACCTTTTTGCACTTAAAATTAAGCACTTACCAAAAATAGGACTAGAGGAACACTAAAAAAAATTTTGATGTTGCCATGTGTAAACATTTGCTTTAATAAGTCTACATGCAAAAAATAATTAAAATCCATGACATGCGATGTGCCACCCATTGCCTGGTTTTTTGGTGGACTGCCTCTTAAAAGCAACAATACAATCACTATAGGTCTTACGTTGTGAAAGGAAGACCTCTTAATAATAAAAAAGGAGAAACAGAGTAAAAACGATATGTTCCAAAACTTCGTTTGGGGAAAATTATTAACATTATCAATGACAATGCAGCACTATATGTTTTTTCTCTTTCCGTAATACCGGGTTATCACGATATACTAGTACTTTAAGTCATATGCAGTCTTCTTTACTTACATTTATATACTTCGTTAGATACATAGGAGCTGTTTGGACACGTTGGGATAGTAGTGTTACATGACTGCCAGTCAATGAAGCCATCATTAGTAAAAATCGGACATTGCCCTAAAACAAATCAGCAAACATACATGTGTATATGAATAATAATGTCGGTTCAAGTGAAAAAAAAAAGTTAGATATAAAGCCATTTCTTAAAGAAAAATGTTTGTTTGCCCTCTCCCGACCGACTGGCTAATAATGGCTCGACTCAAAACTTTTTTAAAACTTCCAAGAAAGCATTATATTTTTTAAATTAATTACTGGATTTTTTCATCCCATCAATAACTATTTTCTTTTATTAATATCTTCAGTTCTTAATAATTTGAAAATTCAGCATTGGTGCTGAAAATTTCTGAGAAAAAAAATTCCTCATCTTCCTATCGACCCATTTTTTTTTTTTTTTTATCCTGAGTCGGAAGAGGGCAAGCAGAAATTATTTTAAGGTAGCATAAGGTTAAAATATTTTCAGATTGAATCCTTCTTATTCTTAAATATTGACAGATTATCTGTTTTATATGCTTAAATCATTAATTTCTATCCTTTTTTTTTTATTTACACTGATTGTTTATAAAAATATTATAATTATGTTAGACTGACAAAAATTTATATTAATTTTACGACAATTTGTTTTTCTCGAAGAAATCGTCGCCATTCTCGACGAAGAGGAAAGAAAATCCAGAGATACATGTATCTGTGAGTGGAAAGATTCAAATCTTGAAATCATAGAAAAAAAATTGTGCATTGATTGATGATAGAAAAATTACTTGTTAAGAATATATCTTTGTACATTATCAAGTGATAAGCCAGGAGAGAGAGAGAGAGAGAGAGAGAGAGATACCACCAATTATCTTTGATTTCTCCACACATCTTTCCCACTTTCCACCCACACTGTCAGACAGACAATGGTAAACACTCTGTCCACCACAATCCGCTTTTTTCATTGCTGCTCGTGCCTCCCATGTCTCCTTGGTAACAGGACAGGCATCAGTGTTCCCCTCTCCTGACATATTCCTTAAGGAAAATACTGTTCAGAAAACAATTTAATTATACTGTCCATGCAAGAAAAAAAATGCAAGAAAGGTATTAATACTTTTACTTTGTTTAATAACAAAAGTCGTTATTATTCTATTTATTTCATTTTATTTAAATTATTAAAATAGACTTAAGGATGTGGATTTCCTTTGAGTTAAATAGTTAGTAGTTTTGAAACTCATCATTTTACCTATAAAAAAAAGGAATCGAATTAAAATCGAAAACGAAAGTTCAGATCCCAAAACAAATCGTTATAAACACTTTTTAAAACTGGTGAATACATGTAAATGTTTTTAACAATTGAAACATTTTTGGATTTACTTACATGCTACCTCTTTCAACTTTGCTATTATAAGTTAAACGCAGCTAAGAAATTGTGTTTTGTTATAGAATATCTGGATATACCCAGAATACAACAAACCAGCGTTCGTGACGCATTTAAAAAAATCAATATTTACGACAGGCCATTCTGGTATTTTAAAAGATGTTTAACCAGTAACGACACACAGAGACATTTGTGCCTACGATCTTACAAAGTAAGTGCAATTTTTCCCGAATAAATAATTTTTTCAAGTACCCCCAAGAGCCCGGATCTGAATTTAATCTAGCCACGATCCTAATGTTTCATGCATGAATAAAGGAAGACTGGATATCAAATACGGTACTAGCTTCATCCTAAAACTTAACGCTGGACTCTTGGAATATAAGCAAATTTAATAATAAGTAACATTTTTGTTTTTTCCATTTGTAAGAAGTGAAAGATTTTGTTTTCAAACTATCAACCTAAGAAGACGTTGGTTCAGTATTTTAATTTCAGCTCTAGATCACACTTTTTCAAAGGACTAATGTCCTTAAGTACAAGGTCAGGATCAGGACTGGCAAAGCAAAATATACATCAACAACAACATTAATATATAGTTCTACCTGGGCGCAGTAAGAGAAGCAAGATAAAATGTATTAATTTGGAATTTCTTCACCTACATGTATTTTTGTTGTAATGTAGAAAAAAATGTTAACCTGAAAGTCGGGTGCAGAAGAAATATTTTTTTATAGTTGTATCAGTTTAGAAATTCTAGATCTATTTTTGATTCAGTTAAAAATTACATAAATGTATTCATCTGGAAGGTAGGGTGCAGGTTAAATAACTTTATTGCATCAATCTGAAAGTTCTCAATCTATTTTTAGACCGAAGCAGAAAAAAAATTATGTTCACCTGAAGGTGCAGGTGAACATAGTTTGGTATTATTCCTACAATGCTGGATCGCAGCCAATCAGAAAGCTAAGTATTATTCAATCATATACCAAAATATAATATGCTTCCCTACAATATCTTAGATCGGTTCTAGAATTTCCAGATGACATTGCCGTTAGCTTAACATTATTTAGAAGTAACACTATTAAGTTATTATTATTATGTTACTGCATTATCAAAATAAACAATCTTCCCTATCAGAGCACATTACAGTTATGAATCAGTTAGTGAAAACCTGTTATTTGGTTACTGAGTATGCGACTCTTCGGGAATATTACTAAATCCAGTAGATTAGAAAAAAAAGTCAGATACCACCATAGTACAAACCGGCATCTAAACCTTCGTATATCATGTTTTATTCTTGAACGTCATAGCTGCCTTATGTGATTATTTCATAAGAATATGGTGCTTTTTTATATTATGCTGTAGTTATTTCATGTGAAGATGGTGTTTTATTCAGTGAAACTGAAAGCAACGGTAGTGAAAATTTCCGGAATAGAGGGGTCAGAAACCGCGCCAAACTTGTTCGTGTAATTCTGGGACGCCTTTACATTTTACATCTAGTTAAAAATCGTCACTTTCGTTGCTTTCAGTTTCAGTGCTAGGTATCAGAACGTTTTTGTTTACTGCATATTTTATACGGCAAGTTCAAATTGGTAGACGAACGGAATTCAGGCGTTATTCAATCAATCTCACCCGAAACCCGTAGGAAAAGTGTAGATATTGATAAAAATCAAGTGGGAAATCGAGGCACTCCCTGAAAACGAAGATGGCAACTGTCGTACCTTCACTCTTTGTATTGACAGTAATATGACATTTTTAAAACGTGCTAATTTCAGCGATTTTTTTTTATTTTTATGTTTTGAGTGTATTCAGACACACTTAGAAAAAAGCATAATAGACAAAATACACCGTCCTGAAACCATGCGCCTATGGAAAAAAGAGGAACTAGCAATGGTGTATAAACATTTTAATTGAATCAACTTTTTTTTTACTTTCAAAATTTAGAGATAATAGCTATTAAACCCAGTCTTCATAAATATGAGGAGTGCCAAGTAACCACCTTCACATGAAATTACCACAGCATAACATAAAAAACCACCTTCACATGAAATTACCACAGCATAATATAAAAAAAAAACACCTACATATGAAATAACCACAGCATAATATAAAAAAAACACCGTCACATGAAATAACAACAGCATAACATAAAAAAACCACCTTCACATAAATTAACCACAGCATAACATAAAAAAGCACCATCATCACATGAAATAACCACAGCATAATATAATAAGAGGCCCATGGGCCACATCGCTCACCTGAGCACTATGCCTAGGAAAATGCAGAAATCAGTTCAGTATTGAAAAGTTTAAATATTTAATGTGGTTCCCGGGGGGGGGGGGGAGGGGGGGGGTATGATTTGAACAAACATGACTTATAATATCTTTGCTGTTCTTAAGAAGAATTTTTTATTGATTAATCCTTAATATTCATCTGTATAAAGTTCTATGTTCCCTTTTTATGGCCCCTCTATACTCCTGGGGGTCATGATTTGATCAAATTTGATTCTACATTACCTGCAGAAGATGCTTTTATTTTATTATGACAAATCACGGTTTTGCTGTTCTTGAGGGGGTGGCCCCACCCTATTCCGGGTGGTCATGATTTAAATAAACTTGAATCTACACTACCTGAGGATGCTTCCTGATAAATATGATCAATCATGTCTTTGCTGTTCTTGAAAAGAAGATTTTTAAAGATTTTCCCTTTGTATTCCTATGTAAAACTTTGATTGTCTACTGTGGCCCCACACTACCCCCGGGGGTCATGATTTAAACAAACTTGAATCTACACTACCTGAGAATGCTTCCATATAAATATGATCAATCAAGGCTTTGCTGATCTTGAGAAGAAGATTTTTTAAGATGTTCCCTATGTATTCCTATGTAAAACTTTGATCCTCCATTGCGGCCCCCCCCTACCCCCGGGGGTCAGGATTTGAACAAACTTGAATCTACACTACCTGAGGATTCTTCCACATAAGTTTCATATTTTCTAGCACAGTAGTTCTTGAGAAGAAGAATTTTAAAAGATGCCAGAAATTTTTCACGAATTCGCAATTATCTCCCCTTGAAAGAAGACGTGACCCTTCATTTGAACAAATTTAAATCCCCTTTACCCAAGGATACTTTGTGGAAAGTTTGGTTGAAATTGGCCCAGTGGTTCTTGAGAAGAAGATGAAAATCTGAAAACTTAACAACGACAACGACGACGACAGACAAAGGACAAATTTTGATCAGAAAAGCTCACTTGAGCCTTCGGCTCAGGTGAGCTAAAAAGCACCATATTCTCATGAAGTAACAACATAGGGCATCTGTGGCGTTCCATACTTTATATCGTATTCCCCCGATGAGGTAGTAATCGAAAGGGTATATCATATGTATAACTATTTTGATAATGTATTTTTAGAGGTAATAAAACATAAATTACCTGTTCGAGCAAGTGAATTGGATACGAATATAGGTACACGTACACGTACATGAGTATATATATATATTCTATTTGTTCAGAGATATCACATTCATGTTAGTAATTAAGCGATGTATTATGTATCAATGAACGCCTTGAAAGTGAACACCTTCAGAACAAATAGGCTTCAAACAGAAACAAGAGGCCCATGGGCCACATCGCTCACCTGAGCACATTGGCTAGGCAAAAGCACAAATTAGTTCAGTATTGAAAAGACCGGGGGAGGGGGGGGGCTTGAATTTTAAACTACCTGATGATGCTTCCATGTCAATGTTCAATGTAACAAATGGCTTTGTTGTACTTGAGAAGATTTAAAAAAAAATTCCCATATATTCCTTTGTAAAAATTTGATCCCATATTGTGGCTCCTCCCTATCCCAGGGGTCATCATTTGAACAAACTTGAATCTACACTACCTGAGGATGCTTCCATATCAATATGACTAAACATAGCTTTTCTGTTCTTGAGAAGAAATATTTCTTCTTTATGTTCTTATGTTAAACTTTCCATTCCCCATTGGGCCCACCCTATCCCTGCGGGTCATCATTTGAACAAAATTGAATCTACACTACCTGAGGATGCTTCCATATCAAAATGACTAATCATGGTTTGCAGTTCTTCAGAAGAAGATATTTTCCTTTATATTTCTATGTAGAACTTTGATCCTCCATTGTGGCCCCGCCCTACCCCCGGGGGTCACGGTTTGAACAAACTTGAATCTACACTACCTGAGGATGCTTCCATATAAATATGACTCATCATGGGTTTGCTGTTCTTGAGAAGAAGATTTTTAAAGATTTTTCCTATATATTTCTATGTAAAACTTTGATCCTCCATTGTGGCCCCGCCCTATCACCGGGGTTCATGGTTTTAACAAACTTGAATCTACACTACCTGAGGATGCTTCCATATAAATATGACTCATCATGGCTTTGCTGTTCTTGAGAAGAAGATTTTTAAAGATTTTTCCTATGTATTTCTATGTAAAACTTTGATCCTCCATTGCGGCCCCCCCTACCCCCGGGGGTCATGGTTTTAACAAACTTGAATCTACACTACCTGATGATGCTTCCATGTAAATATGACTCATCATGGCTTTGCTGTTCTTGAGAAGAAGATTTTTAAAGATTTTTCCTATGTATTTCTATGTAAAACTTTGATCCTCCATTGTGGCCCCGCCCTACCCCCAGGGGTAATGATTTGAAC